ACTGTGATACCTTTTAACCGCTTTGATTGGAATTGACGACGTGCTTACGTATGATAGAGTTAGCTAGACACCACGTATCAAAGCATAAGCCATGGCTACAACAAATCATTACTTTTGGCAACAGGGGTTCAACCCAATGCCGTAACATACGCTGTGTGACAAGTAAAGAGAAGAATGATGTGTAAACAAGCAGCCTTCTTGTGCACTCACTCGGACGTAGTTGAAGGCAGACAGTCATCACACTGACAAGAACTGTGATACCCATTAACCGCTTTAGTGGAATTGATTACGTGCTAACGTATGATAAAGATAGCTAGACACCGCGTATCGAAGCATAAGCCATGGCTACAGCAAATCATTCCTTTTGGCACAAGGCGGTCAACACAATGCCGTTACATACGCTGCGTATCAAGTAAAGGGCAGAAAGACGTGTAAACAAGCAGCCTTGTTATGGACTCAGACAGTGGTAGAAGAAGGCAATTGTAATCACACTGACGAGAACTGTGATACCCAAAAATCGCTTTCATGGAATTGACTACGTGCTTACGTATGGTAGCGTTAGCTAGACACCGCATGTGGAAGCATAAGCCATGGCTACAGCAAATCATTACTTTCGGCAACAGGAGATCAACACAATGCCGTTACGTACGCTGTGTGACAAGTAAAGAGAAGAATGACGTGTAAACAAGCAGCCTTGTAGTGCACTCTTATTGTGCAGATGATGGCAAACTGTCATTACACTGACTATAACTGTTATACCCATTAACCTCTTCAATTGAATTGACTACGTATTTACGTATGATAAAGTTTGCTTGACACCGTGTGTCGAAGCAAAAGCCATGGCTTAAGCAAATTATTACTTTTGTCAGCAGGTGTTCAACACATTGCCGTTACATACGCTGCGTGACAAGTAAAGAGCAGAATGACGTTTAAACAAGCAGCCTCGTATTGCACTCCCACAGTGGTTGATGAAGGCAAGCTGTCATCACACTAGCAAGAATTGCGATATCCGTCGACGGCTTTTGTGGAATTGACTACGTGCTAACGTATGATAACGTTAGCTTGACACCGTGTGTCGAAGCAATAGTCACGGCTTAAGCAAATCATTACTTTCATCAACAGGTGTTCAACACAATGCCGTTACATGCGCTGCGTGGCAAGTAAAGAGCAGAATAACGTGTAAACAAGCAGCCATGTAGTGTTCTCCCATACCGTGCAGACTAGTGGCGCCAAGGAAGCATTTCGTCGAGCAGACGCCAACCAGTAGATATCGGTATTTCCGGTGTGGATAGGCTGATTGGGCAAGTTGCGATTATGTGGGTTAGCCAAGTATACAGTGAAGTATTCAGCAAGGTGGCTATCCACAAGCGCATAGAAGGTACATGAATCCAGTAAAAAATCCAATAGAATATTTGGTAGAATATTCTAGTTAGGCTTAGAGGTAGCACGGCGAGCTCAGGACCTTCAATGTATTTGCTTTTTGCCATTTAGTGCTTAAGCTACCTTAAACAATATGTTATGAGCCCAAGCCCTGTTGACTTTGCCTCCCCTTTCTCCAACTCTGCCTTTGTCACCATCGATACGTCTACGCCAAGCCGAATCAACAAGTTCGATGGCACTAACTTCCACAACTGGAAGTTCAAGATGCAGATGGTGCTGGAGGAGAGGGACCTGTGGGAAGTTGCAAGTGGGGAAATCAAACTGGAGCACTGCAAGAATGCGATGGTCCATTCGACTTACAGAAGAAAGTCTTGAAAGGCGTTGGTGATGATCTGTCTTGCAATAAAAGACTCACAACTGCCGCTGGTTTGGTCGTCAAGTGGTGCGCATGAGGCATGGTCGCGACTGGAAGGGCACATCGAGAAGAGAAGTCTTGCCAACAAGCTTTCTTCGTCGACGGTTCTTCACAACTATGATGGAAGAAGGTGATGATGTTCTTGAACACATCAACAAGCTCAAGACGCTAGCGGAGCAGCTCGACGCTGTGGGTGCTCCGGTTAGCGAAGACGACTTGGTCATCACGTTTCTTGGGAGTCTAAGTGATACTGAACGATATTGATCGCAGCGAGCAAACGTCGCACAGTTTGAAGATTCCGGTGACTATCTTTTCGCAATTGGCGGTAGCAGTGACTCTGTTCAGGCGAATGGTGTATGGCTGGTCGACTCGGGGGCGACTCAGCATATGACAAGCTCAAAGAGGGTCATGAGGAACTACAAGGCATTTTCTCCTATTGACGTACATCTGACAGAAGCCGGTGTCGTGCAAGCTATCAGCAGCGGTGACATCGTTATGCCAATGAAGACTTCGCACGGATTAAAGAAAGGTGTGCTGACAAATGTGTGGCACATTCCCAATTTGTCAGGAGATTTATTCTCAGTTTGACTTCACTAAGGACGTTGGGCCTGTTGTCTTCGTCAAGGAAGGATGCTATGCCGAGACGAAAGGTGTCAAATGGACGATTGGTGCTCGCGAAGTAAAAGGACTGTTTCGACTTCACATGATTTCGGTTGCTCGAGAGGAAGCGAATACAGTCAAATCTACGACAGTCAATAAGGATATCTAATATCTGTGGCATCTTCGTCTTGGTCATATTGAACATGACGGATTGAGCGCAATCATTAAGAAGAATCTCGCTGCTGGACTCGATATTGCGTCCGTAAACAAGTGGAAGATTTGCGATGGCTGTGCGCAATGCAAGCAGATTCGTGTAAGTTTTCAATCAACGTCAACGGATCGGGCAAGCAGGCTTTTGAAAGTTATACACGGAGATGTGTGCGGTCTTATGAAAACTTCAACGTCTAGTGCAAGCGTTATTTTGTGACTTTCATCGACGACAATTCCAGATATTGCCGCGTGTATCTGATTAAGAATAAGTTAGAAGTGGTGGACAAGTTTGCAAATTCCGTTGCATTCGCAGAGAAGCAGACCGACAAACGCGTTAAATCACTTCACAGTGACAATGGTGGTGACTATACATCAGCAAAAATGGCCGATTTTTGCTCGGATAAAGGAATTGTGCTTAAGTATACGCCAACATACACACCACAGCTCAACGGGGTTGCCGAGCGTATAATTCGGACGCTTGTGGAGTGCGCACGTTGCATGTTGGAGCACGCTGGTCTTTCTAAACACTACTGGGGAGAAGCAATCATGACGGCAATGTTTCCTCGAAATCGGTGTCCATCGCGTGCTAATAATCTCGAAAAGTCACCTTACGAGCTTCGGACGGCCAAGAAACCGCTGTTAGCCAGCCTAAAAGTATTTGGCTGCCACATGTTTGAACAAGTTTCAAAAGAGAAACGCTCGAAGTTGGATGCGAAAGCCGTGCTGTGCCGATTTTTGGGCTATTCAGAGCACCAGAGAATGTATCGGTTCGAGGAACTATCAAGTGGTAAAATGATCCTGAGTCGTGACGCACAGTTTAAAGAAGGCACCTTGACGATGAGAACAAGGGCTACAGCAAAATTGTCACGATTCAAGATGATGACAAGTTGACGACGAAGAAATTTTGACAGACAATGACATTGATACGGACTTTGAGCTGGGAAGCAAACGACATACCCGTACTCAGTCATTGGAAAAGGCGACTGAGCTTCCACAGCCCAAGCGTCAGATATCCAATACCGACGTTCAATGCTTGAAGAAATGTCGGCTCTCGCAAGAATTCGCGAAGAAGACTTTGAAGCAGCCCACGTCGTGTATTTAGTAGGAGAAATGCCGACAACGTTCAAGTCGGAGATGGAAACCAGCGACGCGGACGAATGGAAGCTGCAAGTGAATTGGAACTAGAGTCACTCTAAAAGAACAAGACTTGGGATATCGTGCTTCTGCCAAAGGGGCGCAAAGTAATTGGTTGCAGATGGGTGTTTCGAGTCAAAGAAAACCAAGAAGGGATCATTGAGCGTTTTAAAGCGCGACTTGTGGCCATGGGATTTTCACAGAAGTTTGGAGTCAGTTATGAGGAAAAACTTGCACCGGTGGCAAAGTTTACTTCGATTCGCATTGTATTGCGCATGGCTGCCAAGTACGGCTTGGCGCTGCATCAGATGGACGCTAAGACTGCATTTTTGAATGGAATTCTGGATGAAGAGAAAAATATGCAGCAGCCTGAAGAATATGTCAGCGAAGACAAGCAATGCCATGTCTGCAAGCTCAAGCGCTCGCTGTATGGTCTTAAGCAGTCACCACGCACGTGGAAACACACCATTGACGAAATTCATATCAAAGATGAGCTTCAACAAGTGTGAGTCAGATCACTGTGTATACATTAAGCGCATTGACGGTAATATAATTATTGTCGTGCTGTACGTGGACGATCTCATCATAGCAAGCAGCAACAGCTCCCTTCTAGTCTTAACTAAGTGTGCGCTAATGACCAGTTTGAGATGACAGATCTTGGTGAGCTCAAGTACTTTCTCGGTAGGAAAATTGATCAGAATCAAGTAGCGGTCAAGTCATGTTGCGGCAAACAAGTTCCTTAAGTCAATCCTGAGCAAGTTTGGTATTCAAGACAGCAAGCCCGTCAAGACGCCTCAGGATACATGACTCAAGTTAACAAAGAATATGTGCGAGGGAGGATGCCAGTATGAAGACACGATGAAGAATGTGCCGTACCGAAGCTGTGTTGGTGGCGTAATGTATCTTATGGTTGCGCCGCGCCCAGATCTTGCTGCGGCAGTGGGAGTTCTAAGCCAATATGCCGCCGATCCGTGCCCAACGCATTGACAAGCTCCCAAGCGCGTAATTCGATACCTAAAAGCAACGCAAACGTATGGACTTCAGTATTCAAGTTACGATCAGGCAAAGCTCCTTGGGTATTTGGATGCAAACTGGGCTGGAGATATCGAGTCTCGCCGAAGTACAAGCGGCTATGTTTTCACACTAAACAATGGGTGTATTAGCTGGCGCTATCAGAGGCCACTCAAGAAGCGGTATGGCTCGAGGTATTTCTGTGCGAGCTTGGTGAGATGACTCCTAACGATTCTGTCAAGATATTCTAAGATGATCAAGGCTCCTGCGTTTGCCAAGAATCCAAAAAATGTATAAGCGCACAAAACACATCGTTATTCGCTATCACTTTGTACGAGAAAAGATTGAAGATGGTCAAGTCAATCTCGAATACTGCCCTA